ATCCCATTGTATGAATTATACAATAAAATATGTTCAAAACAAATCAAAACAATACCAATTTATTAAAATATCGAATTTATTTTTTTTTATTAGTTTATTTTGATATTGTAAAACGACATCTTTATAGTCGATTCAAAAAGATTGATTAACCCTGTAAACATTTTGAGACCAAAGCATCAGTATAAGAGTATTGTGTTCACACAAAATTATGCACTTTATTTAAGGGTCATGAATGATATTAACTAGGGATGTCAACGAATATTCGAGTACTCGACTATCGATCGATCATATCGATTATCGACTAAAATTTCTTTAGTCGGTTATTCGTTAAAAATGTATTTCATCAAAGTAATATTAAATTCAAGGCAATAAATTTATATTTGCCCATTTTATAATTTACAAATGAATATTTTCATATGAAAAATAAAGGGTATGGTATAACTGTTCAAAGGAATTTATTTGTTTTGTAGATTCAAACTTAGATATGACGTGATACAACTATTCAGAAAGCATATTAATTAAAAGGATTTTACAAAATTGTAAAGACATGTAAATTGGGGTCAATTATGAGAATTATGATCAGTTATGATAGTAATAAAACCATGTTTTTTTCTGATATAAATTTCAAACAATCATTGATTGTTTGCACAAAAATTCATAATTAAGATTTATCCCAAGGTCTCGCCTTCTCTATTTGTTTTTATAAGAGACATGCTTTAATTGTTTACCTGTCAAAGATCATTGACGGACACGTAGAAATTGGCTTCAATTATGGGGTACATGTACTACCGTTATGTAAAGAAAAAAAAAATACGAGCGTTTGATATCCTGCATTTAGATAAAATGTGCATAATATATGAATTTGAAATTAAATATATTAGATACATATCGATGAACAGTTTTTATATAATAATTGTACTACGTACATGTTAACAATTTAGAAACTCGTTGTATAATGGTGACAGCGTAGGTTAAATATTGTAAACTAACCTGTAAAAGACAAACAATGAAAATGATATGAAAAAATAATTAAGATTAAACGAATATTCGACTATCGTTCGACTAAAGCATCCGACTACTCGACTATGCTGTCCGAGTAAAATTGACATTCCTAATATTAACTTCAATTTGTTTTACAATTTATTTGAAAAAGATCACATCTTTTAAGTCAAATTATAGACCCTGTTTAAACTATTTAGTGGCATTATTAATGTCAATATGATGATAAGAATAAATTTCAAACATTTATATAATCAAAATCAGACTGGTATTTTACCAAATTAATCAATCGTTTAGCTATTGATGTACAGTGGGAAATCATTAATCCGGACGCTTTGGTTTCCGGTCAATTTGTTCGGATATGTGATGCGTCCGGATACCTGAATTAGCAGTGAAACAAGATAAAGTTACGTTTAAGTTACATTTAAAAATTCCGTTCCGATGAAAAGTCGTCTGGTTACTGAAGCATTCGGATTTCTGGCGTCCGGATATCTGAAAGTTCACTGTATTATTTAAAAGCATTGAGGGGGAACTTTCTCTTGTATGGTGTTTTGTGATCTTTTAAACGCTTTTAATAAAGTATAGAATGAGGAAATTCTTCTGAAACTATAAGAATTTGGGATATTTGGCTGTCTCTCTGATCGACTTTATAGTTAGTCGAAAATCGAAGTCATAAATTGTATCGTGTGGCTGGACTACAACAGAGTTACATAAACCCAAGTGTTTAAAAGTTGAATTTTCTGCTTTATTTTAATAAGGTTAAACGTGATTCAGAAAATCTGTTTGCAATATGAATTAATTATTTTGCAGTACATAATTTAAGGCAAAGTCCTTAGATACATTTTGCTTAAAGAGAGTATTCCATTAAGAATAATCTAATGTTTAAAAAATATCTTAAGAAACAGTAAATAAATTTCAGTCCTTTGAAACTAGAGCTGTTCTCTCAATCTAGAATATTTTGAGTTTAAGATCTTCAGTCATGTCTTTCAAATTGAAAAGGTAATACGAGTGTGTATCCACAAATATGCATATATATTGTATTACTTATTTCTCATTACATGTGAGTTGGTCAAACTATCTGAAAAACACATGAAAGTGCATAATAGTTGTAAGGAAAGCTACAAATTAGTTCTTGGATGAAACGTTCTTTATTAAATACATTTTTCTTAGGCCTTTAACATGGTTAATATATTCTTACTTTACACATTATGTATCTATTAATGTGAGGAAAGTAACCCATTCCTTGTTTGTAAACAAGTAAAATTATGAATTAGTTTATTAATCGATTTATTTCAAAATTCTGATTTATTTTATTCATTCATTTTTTAATATTGTAAAACCGACATTTAAAAAAAAATCGCTAAAACATTTTGAAATCAAGTCAGCGGTATTCTTTGTGTTAAAAAATGTTTGCAGTTTTTAAGGATCAAAAATGACCTTTTCTCAATATTTGTTAATTGTGACTTTAAAATGACATTCAAAACTTTAAATTACCAGCACGTTTCACTTATAGAGCTGCATACTTAAAATGATGATAAGAATAAACGACAAACATTTTTAAAATCAATACCAGCCATTTAACCATCTAGCAATAGCTGTGTTGTTAACGAACATTGGTAAGGAAAATAATGTTGTACATGTATGGTGTTTTGTGACATATCAAAGGCTTTTGATAGAGTATAGAATAAGGAAATTCTACTGAAACAAACTTATGAAAAAATTGCCAGTCATTTGAATGGGTTTAAAAGCATTCGAAGTTAAAATGTGAATAAGGACATGGATTTAAGGACAAGGAAAACCCAAATTTTACACCTGCTATAAAACCCGCTAAACAGCATTTAAAAACAACTCAAACTAAGCCTTTTGATAGCTTAAACAGCTGCAAATTCAATAAAAATGGAGCTCTGAAATTTTCTGATTTTGTGATTGATCATCTACAGAATTTCTTTGTTTAAAAAATCCGACTGATTCTTAATATAGAACAGATGTACGAAAGCCCAGAAGGCTCATTCGAGATTCGAGATTCAAAATACGAGATTCGAAATTCGAGGTTCGAAATACGAGTTTCGAGATTCAAGATCCAAACTAACCAATCAAAAGCGGATTCAACATTTGATTACTCCCCTTTATTATGTTTTTACTATCAAGAAATCGTTTAAAATAATTATACCCAATGGGTCATTTGATTAAATTACAATGCAAAAAAGAGTGTTTTATATATATTAGAAGGAAATTTAAATAATTATTGGATTTTTGCAGCAAGATATACTTCAATTTATATTATAGCTTCTTAAATATTTTAGATTACATATATCAGGAGTATATATATTTTTGTATTATCTTCTACACTTATTTTTTTTTTGTTGTATTTCCGCGCATAGGAAAACCACAGGTACTTGTGGACAGGACCCCCCCCCCCTCGATATTCAATACCAAGGCTTACTGGACAATTTTTTAAACAAATTATATTTATTACACTTATTAATGTGTACAATACGAAAACATCACGGGCGTAAAACCCCCAGAATAATCGTTTAATCAAAAAAAAAAAAAAAAACATTATACATTACCCCTCCCCACTATACAAGAGAGGTGTCATTTAAGGAGAAAATATGGGATTATTACGAGATGCAGAGTCAATCCGATAGCATGGACTAAGACAGAAATATATGTAGAGACAGTTAATTTTAATCAACATTTTAAGTTACAATAAATGCATGGTTTTAAACCTAGAAATAGCAGCGGGCGTACAACGTAAACAAACTGGAGTGCACGTGGCATATTTTCTCTCTTATAATGTATAGTGGGGTATTTTTTGTGTTGAGCGATTATTCTGGGTTTTTACGATTTTTTTTTTTTGGCATTGAACACACGATGAATAAGTGTATTAGATATATGTTGTGAAAAAAGTCCAATAAGCCCTGGGGTTGAATATCGAGAGGGGGGATGCCCTGTCCACAAGTACATTTGGTTTTCCTATGCGGGAAAATACATAAAGATTAAGTTTAGAAGACAATACAAATAAATATATATACTCATGATATAAGTAATTTTTTTTAATATTTAAGAAGCTATAATATAGATTGAAGTATATTTTTCTGATCAAAAATCCAAAAATTATTAATATTTCTTCTAATATATATAACACTCTTTCTTGCATTGTAATATAATTAAATGACCCATTTGTTACAATTATTTTAAACGATTTCTTCATAGTAAAAACATAATAAAGGGGAGTAATCAAATGTTGAACCCGCTTTTGATTGGCTAGTTTGGATCTTGAATTTCGAATCTCGAATTTTGAATCTCGAATTTCAAATCTCGTACTTTGAAACTCGCTTCTGATTGGTTAGTTTGGATCTTGAATCTCGAAACTCGAATTTCGAATCTCGAATTTCGAATCTCGTACTTTGAAACTCGAATCTCGAATGAGCCTTCTGGGCTTTCGTACAGATGCCAAGGTTTCTCATTGACAAAGTGTATATAAGTCTAGTCTTTGGAAAGCAAATCTTGCAATAGACAGTTAAATTTTTCCTCTTTTGACTGATATTATTTAACAATGACAAGAACTTTGGGAGAGATTTTACGATTTGGCGTTATTTTACAAGAGGTTATATTTTGTTAGCATACAATAGTAACAGCTTTATCGAAATCAAAATGTGAAGAAAAAATGTTTAGTGTTATGAACTTGTAAGCCAAATCTAATTAAAGTCTAATTAAAATTAGAATATAATAGATGAGGAATTGAATCATTTAGAATAGCTCATAGACAGTGCAGACAGCTAGAAAAACGATCAGAAGACGATATTTAACTTACAAATTGTGTAAGCACATAATAATTTTCATCAACTTGGCTAAAAAGTGCCTATTCCTATATGTTTTCACATATTATTAAACTATTGAAATTTGCTACATTTTAGAGCCACAAGAACCACGTATGGACCAATACTAGTTCCCAGGATGCGATTAGATGTGCCCAGTGTGAAACTGCTGTGGTACAGATGCACTGTGTTGCATGCATTGTCAACCTCTGCAAGGCTTGTGTGGGAGAACACATCTCGGATGAATCCAAGGATCATAAAGTGGTCAAATTTCAATCTAGGAAAACCACCCCTCTCTACCCTAGATGCACATTCCATGAAACAGAGCGATGTGAGATGTACTGTAGACATTGTGACATTCCTGTCTGCCTCACTTGTCTGGATTCTGATCAACACCGCAGTCATAAGTTATTAAGAATCCAACAAATATTGAGTGAAAAGAAAGACTTTATGAAAAAGGAGCTACGTGAGTTAAATGAAACAATTTATCCTACCTACCAGTGCTTTGCAGCACATTTAAAAGTTAAAATGCGTCATTTAGAAAAGGAATATGAAGATATCTCGACAGTCATAACAAATCATGTAATTTACTGGCACAGAAAAATTGACAAACTTGTCAATAAACTTAAAACCGAAGTTAATGAAATGAAGATCTCTCAGTTACAAACTTTACAACAATATTTTGATGATATATACAAGAAGATTGTTGACATTAAAAGTGAAACCGATTCATTAAATACATGTTTTGCTGAAAACACAAATGACATTGCAAGAATTTTAAGTTTAAGACCTAAAGTAAATCAATATAAAGAGCTTCCACAAAATCTCGTACTCTTTATTCCTAAATTCACTCCTAATACAATTCAAGATGAAAAACTTATTCACCAATTTGGAGGGTTATCGTCAATTCCTTTTACAACAGAAGATGTGAAAATACAGACAACTCAAAAATCAACACAACGGGGTTTTTCCTTGCTTAAAAAGAAATCTGGATTCCATCTTCCAAGAAAACAATTTAACATTGATATGTTCCATTTTAAAAACTATCTTCAAAATATTGCCTGTCCGGGTGATGAAAAGATATGGACATGTGATTTCAGCAATATCATAGAGCTCTATGACACCAAAAGGCATTTACATACCGGGATAATCAGGACTAAGTCAGGGAGCATCCCAGCAGATATAACAGTGACAGGTAGCGGAGATCTCATTTATACTGATGACGTGTATAGAACTGTAAACATAGTAAAGAATGAAAAGATAGAGGAGATGATTAGATTCAAGAACTGGAAACCTCGTAATTTATGTAGCACTTCCTCTGGTGACCTCTTGGTTACCATGGAAAGTGATGACAGTAAACAATCGAAGGTTGTCAGATACTCTGGCTCAACAAAGAAACAAACCATTCAATATGATGATGGGGGCAATCCCCTTTACACATCTGGATACACCTACACGTATAATGGTTCTCATAAATATATATGTGAGAACAGGAATTTCGATATATGTGTTGCTGAATGTAGGTCTAACACAATAGTGGTGGTCAATCAAGGTGGAAAATTGAGATTTAAATACTTTGGACACTCTCCTGCTCAAAAAATGAACCATTCAGTGCAAGAGGAATCACAACAGACAGTCAATGTCACATTCTTACAACTGATCATGATAATAACTGTATTCACATCATTGATCAAGATGGACAGTTTCTAAATTACATAGACTGTGGAATGAATAATCCTTATGGGATTTGCATAGATCCAGTTGGCAACCTGCTTGCTCTTTGTATTGATAGAATTCATGATCGGTACAATACAGGTTGCTGTGTGTTGAAAATCAAATACTTAAGTTGAAATCAATCAATGTAACAATCATCTTTTTTTCTTTTTAAGGTTAAAAAAATCTTTACAGCAATAAACGAATTAAATATAAGAGTTTTTTTTTTATTTGGGTTGAGTGTTCAAGAAAAAATCTTCGCGGGAATGTTAAGGAAGTATATAAGTCATTTCTCGGGAAATTTAGACTTTTTAAAGAAAATAAGTTGGATTAATTTCCAAAACTGCTGATAAACGTAAACTCTTATAGAACGTCTGACGTAAAGACGCACATCGCCGCCATGGCATCACGTGACTTCTATTATTAGTGAAATTTTCCTTAATAAAAAAGATAACAGAACAACAATACCCCGGAGTTTAATACCAGGTACTCTCTTTGAGTAAATAATATAGTTTAAAATCATCTATTTTGCCTAAAAAGTGCTGTTAGAATCCCACTGTCCTGTTAATAAAATGATTATTCCATATATTTGCACGAAACCCTACCCCATGTTTTGAATTTTATACATATGAACCGAGATTTATCGTAAAACCATGTTTATCTCGGGATTCTAGCAGCACTTTCAAAGTTTGTCAGAGGGAAAACTTTCCATCTGTACGAATCTATCTTATGTTTTGAAATATCCAGCTTATTGTTGTTCTATCGCATTATTTTTGTTACGAATGACAGAGAAAAGACCGACCGGATTACGTATATAGCTGACTGTCTTCGAAAGAAAATATAACCTATGCAAATAAATTAGCATACCTGTATAATTAACTAAACTCCATATGGATTTCACATAATATTCGCGATATTTCTTTTTAAACTCCATTTTACGTATCTTTGTACAAGCCGTCTTAGCCAAATTCTCTCTTTCAACAACATGATCAATTCCAAAGTTATTTGATGTACATATATGACGTCATCGGTGGTAGATTTTAATCAAAATGACATATAAAGCGTAACAAAATGAAAACATTTTATTTTTGTTAATGTTTACACGTTTCTTTTCATTTTCTAGAGTTAAATTACATCTCTAAATACCAATAAAACGAAAACTTGTATCC